TAGAACACATCTATGTCATCTCAAGTATAGCAAATTTTTCGATAGTGGCTTAATTATAATTTGTAACAATTTTCTTAAAAGAAATTCCAATTCTATTATAGTTGGACTTTTTTGAATATTTTATATGAATATTTTAGATTAAAAGTGTTTTACGTAAATATTATAAACTAAAGTTTTTATTATTATGAACTTGACATATAGTAGTTCATTTTTCTTCAAAAACTCTTATTGGTGATAGAAAATTGTAACTTGTAAATCCATAAGTACTATGAAGAAAAAAAGTAAATAACAGTAAAAGAACTACATGTATTTGTATTATGTCATTGCAAATTCGTATCTATTTAATATGTATGCAAGTCTTATCAGCATTAAGAACTGACTCAAGTCATTTTTCAATTGGTGAAATTTGAAAATGATTATATATATGAAATTGTTAGATCTGCATTATGGCTGTTTCTACGTATAAATTTTGAGATACTTAAAAAATAACTGGAAATGATAAGTTTTTGACATTAGCCAAAGTTAGTAACTTATTGATTCTGACTTGATAACTTATCGATTCGGTTAATGGAAAATATGAAAACAACTGAAACACCGACTTTGCTGACAGAAATAAAATTAGTTTTTGCAAGATTCGGATAATTTTGATCAGTATCCACTATCGGTATCACGTATATATTTTTATGCCAGTAATACAAGCTCTTAAAAAGAGAACAGCCAATTAGTGAATTCAAATTTTAATTAGTATGTCATAAATTATAAACACATATGAAAGAAGAAAAAAAATGAAAATACTCAAATATCAAATACTGAAAATATTTATTATTGCAGCTTATGCTGGAATTTGGATTTATTTATAATATATATTATTAATAATACTAACTATAAATCTAAATATAGAAAAAAAATAACAAAAATGCCTCAAAAAATTGTAAGATTTAATACTAAAAAATATATATAGTTTAAAATTCTAGCATAAACTAAGCTGCTACATAGTATATGATATGCAAGTATATATTAATTTGCAAGTTTATATAACATGTAAATCAAAACAATTTGAATAAACGAAAGTTAAATGCTATCTATAGTTAGGTTAAGGATGGAATTTGATTGGCTTTCTATATATATTGTATCTTATATACTCATGTCTAAATAGAAATTGCCATATATTTTCTATTTAATATTTTTTTGCTGCTTGTTTAATATTTAGTAACCATCCAAGTTTTGTAACTCCTAGTTGCTCCCTTAAATACTCATCGCTTAAATCTTTAATAGCATTCACTGTTAATTTCTCCCTTGCAAATACTGCTTCCAATTTTAAATAATCGTTATCACCATCATCATAAGTAGCATTTAATTTTTTAAAAAATTCATTAAGAGATGGAGTTGGAGTTAAATCAGAGATTGAAGTGAATGTTGATTGTGAAATATGTGGTTGTGATTGTAAGTTGACTTTAATGGAATAAGCCATTCCGAATGTTGGATAAGAAGGTGGTACTTCTAACGTGATAAGTTCAGCCTTCTGTAATATATATTAATATTTATTAATATATATATATGTAAACTACTAAATCAAATTGGTCTCGCCTTATATATTTAAGTACTTGTACTGACCACATCTTGTGCCCATAGGTGTAAATGTGCAGGCATCAATTGAAGATGTTTATTGTCTTCAATATAACAAGGCGTAGGATGGATATTGCAACAATATTTGGATCGAAGCTCAGAAATAATTGTAGCTAAATTAACTTCGTTAGGAGTAAGATTTGATTCCTTGAGAACACAACTAGTTTTCAATTTTTTAGATTTTGGTTCTAATTTTTCTTCATTTAAGTCAATACCTTCTTCAATTAATTTCTATAAATATATTAACAAAAAATCATTATTAATATCAAATATATAATTTACTAAGTGTTTTGACCTGTTGTAGAACAACGGGTAGGATAATACAAATAAGTCATGTGATATAATACAAAATTGAACATAAATTATAATATATACCTGAATGTTTCGTTTATTAGAGTTTAATGTGATATATAATACCATATTTTTTTTTGAACGTGTTAGATTTTTGCATTCAGTAATAAATGCATTATAATCACATTCATCATCTAATGCCATCGCCTGACCACATCCATTTATTTTATAAGAAATTTCAATATCATCTTTATCAATTTTATCATGATTAAGGTATTTACGAATATGTTTAACAAAATTATAAAGAAATATATCAAATTTGTCCGAATCAAATATAAACTATTTAGCAGGCATCGAGGTTGACTTTTCAGTATTAATAATAACCTTTGCTTTTAATACTGAATTTTTCGAGCTTTTATTATTTGGCAACATATAGTCACCTGAAAAATCTAAATCATCGTCTGTAGAGTCTGGTAGGGAATCTGAGTCTTCTTCAATAGTAATATAATCGGCATCAGTTGGAGAAGAGTCAGTAGCTTTTAAGCATTTCTTGGAACATTCATAACGGCTATGACAATTATTACAAAAGCTAAGTTTAAAATTTTCATTAAAATTACAATTATAACCCAAAAGACGATTATATCTTTTAAGGAATAATTTTTGATTCAAGTATGTTTTCTTAAGATCATAAATCCGACTATAAATTTGATCATTTTTAGTGCAGGAAGGTTTTTAAGTCGTATCACATTCGCATAGATTTTCTACTGGATCTGCAAAGCAAAAAAAGACATTTTTGACAGGAAAAACATGTTCTAATTTTGTAGAATGACATTTTAACAACACATATCATAAGTGATTATACCAATGGTTTAAATACTTTTAAGATTCATTGCTTAAAGTATTATTGTAAGTATATATATGAATCTAATATACAAATATAACAAATGCTAATAGAAAATAGACAAACAGTTTACATATTAGCGCCTTTATTTTTAACATTAGTACTGATAAATGTTATAAACTGTATATACAAATTCAACGAAATTATAATATTAACAATAACGTATATACAGTATGTATGTTAAAGTATTTAAATCCCTGAAATTAAACATCAGGTATTCTTAAGTTTATAAATATATTAATTACTACAAAAACACAATTACTTATATAGTATAGCAATGAAGCCAATAGATACATACTAGTTGTTTGAGCTCTATTTGCGTAACTATCATTAACTTTAGTCGTATACTTATTACTAATTAAATTTTAAGGGCCCAAATTCAATAACGGGTTTCTTTTTACTGTCTTACTATAATTGTATAACTGGAATTTACAATTTTAATAGTGTATATATGAGCACAAAACTACTAAGAAGATATCTTATTATTTCTATTCTTTCAAAAATAGATAGCACTTAATTAGTAAAATCTTTTGTATATAACGAATAGTACTTCTTAATAAGAGATAAAGTGCAGACAATTATAGTGCCAATTGTTTTGAATATTGGTATATTAGAGTAAGTTTATTTATTAATTATATAGATCATTTTGTATAAATTTTATATACAGTACTAATATATCATTTTACTTTATACTATATCTCAATACACTTTCTTAAAACAATATTTGCTGAACAAAACCTTATCATACCCAATTAATAGCAATAAATATATATATAATATTGGTAAATATTAAAAGTTGTAAAATATTCTAAGCTGTTGAGTATTAAAGAAACTAAAGTTCTCGCTTATAAATATAAAAATAAATTTTGTTATCTTAATAGAGTATTTTTATTGAAACAGATATTCTTTTTACTATCTAAATTATAAATACTGATATCGAATATTTAATATTAGTATTTGAGAATCTAATTTTAATAACTGACCAAACGTACGATAATAATACATTGAAAACAAAAGTACATGATGATAAATATAGTTAGCTTAGCAATAGCTCGATTGTTATTGTATCTGAATTTAAGATATTTCTTCTAGAGTATCCAGGAGACTGCTGCCCTAACCGACAAATTCTGTTACAATTACTGTTAGATTTGTGAATTCTGCAATGGCATATAAATAATACTTTAAAAACAAAATCACAACAAAAAGAAAATTTAATTTTATCACAATAGACTATGTTCTCCAATACAAATTTTGCGCAGATTCTGCCATCGCAGTACTCTGGACACTAAATATAATGCCCGAATTTGTCAGATTCTGCTTAAGCAGATTTCTGCTTTCTGCTTGAGCAGGCAGAACTAAAGCAGAATTCTGTGCAGATTTTGCCACTACAGACCTCTGACACTCAAATTTCTTCTTATACAAATATGTATTAAATAATAATATCAGAAAGTTAAACAGTTAATTACTACTGATATAGTTACTAAAAAGATTGTTTACAATATATACAAGTTAATATCTTTAGAACAAAAGGTTGCACATTGACAAGGGTCAACAGATCGAAAAGATAGGGAGCATTGGTCAAGGGATCACATTACACGTGCCTAACCCGGCCCAGTTACACACATCAAGGATCGATCGGTAAAGAAATCAGCGACAGACCATAATTCATGCAGCACGATCAGAAGCCACCGAATAATTAATATAAAAGGGTCATAGAGAACAATGGAATTCACACGCTCTCTCTCATAAAAGACTCAATTCATTTAACTTGTATTTTCTCAACCCAACCCCTCCCACCACACACAAGGGAACAGTCTCCTGATTCTGCCATTTTTCTATTTAACAGCCGGCCTGCTTCGAGCAGGTGGGAAACCACTGGCTGATGCTGCTTCTCACTCACTCTACTGTTACAATGATACCTGGCACAATCTCACTTGCTAATCTTCTGGGAGCATATCATCATTTCAGTTCAAATTACTTAAAATTACTAATTACTTAAAATTACCAATTCAATGTATTTTGCAGACTTAAAGTCCTTTAATTGATTTCATTTCCAGCTCCTTTGGCTGTCCGGAATTATCTAATCACATGACCAAGCTCACCTATGCTTTTCGATTTCTTTATAATTATTACACAATTAATAAGAATCATCATATATTTTTTATTTCTTTACTTTTGCAATTTGAACAAAAACAATAAATTTATTTTAAAATAAAGATTCTAAAAAATGATACACTTGCATCATGATGCATCTCTAATTATATGACTACGTTTAGCATTATATATTTATTACTGTATTATGAATTTATTACATAATTCACAAGAATTTATATAAGAAAAAATTTTTATTTCACAGCATGATATTCATTTCACGAAATACAATTTCAACTCTAAAACCTAACTACCCTAATCACTAAAACCTAACTACCCTAACCACTAAATCTCAATTACCCTAACTACCCCAAAAACACAAATAAACAACAATACTATAAATCACTTTACCAAGACATCAAAGAAAACATAACGTGACGACGACATCGGAGAAAGCAAAATTACACTAACGTCAAAAACATTTTAGCAACAACACACCAAACCCGAACAATATCACTTGGAACAGTGTTTTCATTGACGACAGCACCAACAATATCCTTTGTAACATCCAAAAAAAAAGTGTTAATACTGCATTTACAAGCCAGAACAATAAATAATAAATAAAGTGAAGCACAAGAACGCTTTTCATAACATCTCAATTAATGACGACACAATGATGTCCTTTACAAAACAAAAAAAAGGCAATACGTATACAAACAAGAACAAAACAAAAACATATGAAACCATACTTTCCAGAATTCTTAAGAAAGCCCAAAGATACCTTTTATAATATTAAAAAAAAATGTTAGTAATGCATTCACAAACCAAAACAAGAATCATAAACAAATGAAAATACTTCCCTGAATTCCAAAGCCCAAAGTGGTTATTAACGCTGCCTAGACAAAAAAAGAAAAAAAAAAAGTCAAGTAGCACATTCACGAATCAAGAAAACAAGCAAGACAAAGAACAAGAATAATAAGCAAACAAAAATACTTCCCTGAATTCCAAGCCCAAAGCAGTTATTAACGCCACCTAGATAAAAAAAAAGAAAAAAAAGTTAAGTGTTAATAGCGCATTCACGAATCAAAAAAACAAGCAACAAATGAAAAATATACACTTCAAGACAAATACTCCACAATTTTCATGAACATCCTAAAAAAAAAAAAAAAAACTATTAGTAACACATTCACAAACAAGAACCATACTCTAATTTTAAATTCCTAAACTAAAAAACCTAACCTGTCTACGTTGTTCAACATTGTTCAGCATCATCCAGCATTTCATGTAATAACGAATCTGCAACAAACTAAGAGGACCAGAAACAGCTTTGCCAGCCAAGACCGATATTCTACTAATAATGCCACATAAATTCTCGCCAACAACAGCCCATCTAACAGGAATGGTAACAGACAATTCACCAAGACATCAACAGCTAAGTTGAAACTACGGCACGACAGCTCTGGTGACGTTGACGACACCAACTCTAAACAAAAGATCGACACCAACGATGCGAATAACTTGAAACCGATAAAAAAAAAAAAAAAATTAATAATGTAATTGATTTAAAATCAATTGATTATCACTATTTATACCCCATCATGGTGCATGGTGCACCAAATTTAAAAAATATATATACAGATTGATGAAAAATACCAAGTATACCAAGCAAAAAAAATT